TTTATTCATTAACCAATAAGAGAAACATATTTACAGACTGACATGTCCCATCACTGTCCTTGCCCAGCCACCCCGCCTTGTTAGGGCATAGGGCCCACTACTGCTTTTTCTATTCTCAGAGCCCACTGGATATGTTGTCAATTAATGCTGCCTTTGTGTGTATTGGAGTATATGTATGTATGCCCATGAAGTGTGTGAGAAGGCACATCCATGAGTATACACAGGGGTGCCACAGGCTGATGCAGAATGGTATTTCCCATCACTCTGTCTCTCTCTACTTTACTCAGTGATACCATCTTTCGTCGAAGCTGGCCAGACTGGCTGTCTATCGAGCTCCTGGAATCCTCCTATCTCTGTCTTCCCTGGGCTATGGTCAGATTTTCACATCAGTGCCCGGGGTCCTATGTAAAATGAACTCAGGTCCTCAAAATGCTTACTAACCAGAGCCATCTCCCCAACCCCAAATCATGCTGTGAAGGCAGGGTTTAAATGAGTTCACCAGACCCAGGATAAATAGTAAATAGGTTTTTATTAGGAAAGCACTTACACAGATGAGAGTAAATAATCGCCTCGGTCTTCCTGCTCCAGAAGATGCAGTCTCTGCCCTTCAGATGCTCTCTAAAACCCAAGAGAGCTTGAGCCAGCCCCTCCTCTACTGTATAATGGGTCACATCTGCACCTGAGACCACGCCCAAAGGGTACGGCCACCACCACAAGTTCACTGGCAAGGCAAGATGCCACTATAATGCTGCTTTGCTATCTGTGTTCAAAGTATTACAATTATCCATCTATGGGACCAACATAGAAGCCACTGTTACTTACCTATTTCTCTGTGCCAGGCCCTTCTTCTGGCAAGGCAACCTTGGGTTCTGTGCTAGTGCCTCACTCTTTCTGCAGAGCAAAAGGAAGGACAATCCTACTACCGTCCAGATGAGGGTGCAAGTGAAGGTCTACAGAAATTGCTATCAGGCTCTCAAACGATCCAGGCTGAGCTAGAGAAAAGGCTGACTGTTGCAGCAAAAGAATGATTCTATTGTAACTGTCCTTGCTGGCACTGAGGAGAAAGAGGCCAGAGGTGATCTTGCTTCTTAAGATTAAACTGGGTGGAGTTCACTGTGAAGTGGATGAAAGGTTTTTTCCCCTTGGACCATTTCTCTTGACGGATGAAAATCAAAACAAAGTGAGAGTGGGTGATTGCCTGTCATAGAGCCCACTGGGGCCAGCCGCAGGACTCTAGAATTAGCCCTGTAGCTGTCCTCTCCTTTGTTTTATTGGGGTGGGTGTGTTTGTTGAGATGGGGTCTTGCTATGTAGCTCAGGCTGACCTCACACTCACAACCCTTTTGCCACTATTCTCTGTAAGGAGTAGGTTTTTCCACCAGCCCTCCTGGTCCCACCGCCATGCTGGCCCCAAATATCACACCGAGACACTGTATTTGATATTATGCTGTTGGCCAGTTACTTGTTTCTTATCGGCTAGCTCTGTCTTAAGGATTAACTCATTTCCACTAATCTCAGTATTTTTACGTGGTCTCATCTTACCGAGGAGTGGGCCCGGACCTCTGTTCTCCCCCCTTCCCCCCTCTACATGCTGACTCCTCCCTACTGCTTCCTCTCTCCTCCTTGTCTCCTAGTCCCGCCTATCTTGCTTTCCTATTGGCCAACAGTGCTTTATTCATTAACCAATATGAGAAACATATTTACAGAGTGACATCTCCCATCAATTCTCTACTGCAGTAGTAGAGTTTGAACCCTCTTCTAATCACACACCTAAACCTAAAGGAGGAGAATTTGGACATGGGCCTTTGGGAGGTGAGTGGGTTACTGGCTTAGAAAAGAGCCCAGAGAGCCTTCTCTAAAGCAGTGCTTCTCAACCTCCCTAGTGATACAACCCTTTGTTACAGTTCCTCCTGTTGTGGTGATCCTCCAATGTAAGATGAGTTCTAATAGGTCTTAATAATGAAAGTTCAGTATCGGATATAAAGGAAAATGCTGAGAGATCAGAGAGATGAAGGAGCAAAACCACAGCCACCTTACCTATTCAACTTCCCAGCTGAAAAGACACTGAGCTCCTGTCTCCTCCCACCCACCTTATTACTTCCTCTATGCCCAGCCATATCACTTCCTGTCTGTCTGTACAAACCTCCAGGCCTCTTCGATTGGCTAGTGGCTAGCTCCGCCCTCTGATCTTTAGGTAAGCTTTATTTGTACAAGCAAGAGATCACCAAAATCCAATGCTAAATTTTTTGTTACTACTTCACAACTGTACTTTTGCTATTGTTATGAATAATAATGTAAATATTATTGGAAATAGAAGTGTTAGTGTCCCACAAATTGAGAACCACTGCTCTAGAGAACCAGACTGACAGTCATACATGTCATGAGATGGGATTGATTAGACTGGCTTACACAATTGGGGTTTGAGAGTCCCTTAGTGGTTCTGATGGCAGGGAAGGATGCCCACAGTAGTTCTCCTGGAATAGAGGTATCAACCAGCAGGAGAAGTCAGGCAGGCAGGCAAACATTCTTTTTTTTTTTTTTTTTTTTTTTTTCTCAGATCTCTTTACATCTGGAGTGCATCTCACCCCCAACCCCTGTCAAAGGTGCTGTCCACTACAGGAGGACATCTGCTCCCCTCAGTGATCCTTCTTGGAAATGCCTCCACAGACCCTTCCAGAGGTGTTTCTCTTACTCAGTTCCTGACTCATTCAACTTGACAATCAAGATTCACCATTATCCCCTTCAACCATCTGCAGTTACATGGAACCATCCTTGAGCCAAAAGCGTGTCCTCATTAGATGTATAGGATCTGATGATATATTGACTTGGAGTTTTCTTGGTTCCAGGAGAAATTTGGGGATTTTGTTGTATGTTGGGATGGGAGCGCTCTTTGCAGGGCTGCATTCGGAGCCAGCCAAGTAGCCCCAAGTCCATACCTGGGTGGGGGAGTGTAGATGAGGGAAAGGCTAGCTATAGACGGTAAAGACAGAGAGACAGAATAAAGGTCAGGAGGGCAGATCCATCAATACTGACATGCCATGAGTTTATTTTTCATCACTCTTATATACCTTATCCAAAAGGGGAACGCAGTATCATGTATATGGAACAAACAGACTTTTCTTCCTCAGTCATTCCAAGGGTTCAATAACCACACCTTAGCTCTAAACTTCTTGTTCCCTAGCCTTGAGGTCAGGAGTAGCCATACCTCAGATTCAACTTCTCCTTCCTTAGCCTTGACAGTCAGGAGTAGCTACACCTCAGATTCAGGTCTGTTGTTATTTAGGTTAAGACAGCTAAATCATCCTTCTGTAGCCACACCTTTGACCTTTAGGTCTTGTGACTTGCTGACAGCTTTGAACTCTTTGCCCATGTGCCAAGATGGAGTGCAGCCGTCTTTATGGGCACCCTCAGTTGTAGTCACACAAATGGACTATGACACATTTATCTTTCCTTCCCAAGTAAAAGTAAACAGAGATGTGAAAAGCACCCTATCTATAAGGCTCACATGATGTTGTAACACAAGTATCATCTGTGAATGTATATAGGACTGGAGAGATGCTCAGTGGTTAAGAGTGATGGCTGCTCTTCTGAGCACCCACATGGTGGCTCACAACAGCCTGCAACTCTGATCTAGGGGACCTGATGCCCTCTTTTGGCCTTTTTGCATACTGCATGCATGTGGAGCACAGTCATAATACTGAAGAAAGAAAAAGAGAAAGACAGACAGAAAGAAAGGAAGGAGGGAGGGGAGGGAGAGTGCCGAGGGGAGGGGGAGGGAGGGAGGGAGGGAGGGAGGAAAGGAGGAAGGGAAAACTATGTCACCATAGCACCTGGATTATAATTTCATTGGATATGCTTCTCGAATGTAAACTAAGTGTTGACACCCACCTCCTCTAGCTTTCTCCCAGTACTTCTAGCCACAGAGCCCTCCTCCTTTCCTCTTGCATCCTTTCTCATGCTTCTACTTCGCGTTGCTTTCTTCATAAGTTTACTCATTTTTCAAGGTTTCTGAGGGTAGGTAACCTTGCACTTCCGTTTCCAGTTTCATAATTTTTTGACTTAGCTGGAATGTAGCACTCATCGGGCTTTGCTTATTTTGAAGACTGAAATATAAAAATAAGATTCAAAAGGTCAATGCAAAACAGCCCTTGCTCGGATGGGAAGCGAGAAGGACAGAATTGCTTCTGTGCAAACGAGCCAGGCGGTAGGAAACATGCACGGAAGCGGTTCTGAAGAACAAACTTCACGGTGAGAAAGGTTACATAAACTTATAGCTACAGAACGAATAAGGTAATAGATCCATAGGTTCACCACGAACATTGGCGCAGACCCTGAGCAGACAGGTTGTGACAGAGCACGAGACTCTTTTCTTTGGGTTTCTATGCTTAAAAACAAACAAAACCCCACTGTCTTAGTGTTGGACTGGATGGGGTGTGCTGAGCAACACATTCCAAAAAGTTGTATCTGACTTAAAAAGATGTTAGGTTAGACACAGAAGTGGGTAGTTAGAAACAGCTGGAGAGAACTTTGACTCTGTCCCCAACATTCCATCTTTCCACAGACAGGAAATCAGTTCTTTTCTGCAGAATGCAAGACACAGATGATACTTTTCCAGGGAACTTCAATTCACACAGGATTAACTCTCACTTCTTTGGGGGAGTGTGTGTGTGTGGGGGGGGTGGCTTTTCTCTGGATGATGAGTGTCTGGGCCCGGATGAACATTTAAAAGTGAATAGCAACTCTGTATCACAAGGCTGTGATTGGCAAAAGGCTGGCCAATTTCCAGGCGTTCCTCTCCTGCGTTCTCTATCGGGATTACCTTTCTCACCATAAACAATGCTCAGGATCACAACTCCTCCAGCCCAGGAGGTTGGGACTGCCTGTGCTTTCAGACTCTCCCCGCCTGGGTCCTGGCACCGCCCTCGCGGAGGACTTGCAGTCTGTCAAACTGGTGGGTGGGGCGCGCTAGGCCCCGCCTCCTACGTCACCGCCCCGCCCACGAAGCTCTGGGGCCTCTAGCGCGGTCCCCTCTGCTCGTTCTCTGTTGCTCCTCAACGCCATGGCGTTCGTGACCAGGCAATTCGTGCGCAACATGTCGTCCTCCTCCGCGGCCGCGGCCGCCAAGAAGATCCTGATCAAGCATGTGACCGTCATCGGCGGCGGGCTGATGGGCGCGGGCATCGCGCAGGTGAGCGGGTCGCGCGCCCCGGGTGTCATGGAAGTTGTTCGAAACTGGCCGAGAAGGTGCAGCATGCTCCACTGTCCCAGATCCAGTGCTTTTGGTCCGATCCTTATGAGCATGCTTCTAAATCAGCTGCCGGGCCAGGGAGGGCTCGGTAGACAGCGCTGGTGCACGCTGGAGTAGGCTATGCAAAGTTCTGTGTGCAGATTGCTGAGTGTTTGCTCACTCCTGGGCGCAGACAGGCGTCTGCTTGCCAAGACATGGGCTGCGATTTCTTTTAATTTTACTTTTATCAGTTTGAATTTTTTAAAAAAATAAATTATCTGGTTATTGCTTGGGCAGTTTTCTTTCTGCCTCTCCCTGCATATCCTTCGTTGGCCTTCATTTTTATAACAGTTTGGAAAGTCACCTAGTGGGAGTTTGTGGAGTTGCTGAGGCTCCGACCAGGGCTGGGCCAGACAACTTTGACCTTTGACCTAGTGCCCTGCGTGGAGAAATCTGTGTGCGTGCCCAGCTCTGAACCCCATGAGTGGGACACAGAAGTAAGGCAGAGGGCCCTGAGAAGTCTCTAATCTCTAATCGGCTTCGATGGGACTTTGACTGGTACCGGCTGAGGAGCAGTTCAGGATCGACTGCAGTTTGCACACTATAATTTCTGTAGTACCCTTTTCTGTTAATAGCTATCTTTCTACGCACATTGGAGAACTATGATGCCCTCACTGTTATAGTCTTATCTTTTTAGGCTTTTGCAACTTGTGTTTTGTGGCAGTATGCTTACCTAATTTTAATTAGGGAAGGTATTCTGAGGTCAGTATCTCTTCCCAACCGAATGCATTGCTTTAAACATGTTAGCCAGTTAACTTGATTGAATTTTCTTCTAAAATCTGTTGGTTTGCTTGTTTTGAAACAAACAAACAAACAAATATACAACAGTCTTTGTTCAGAAGACCCAGGCTCCAGCTGTGGCTATCACATAAGGGTTTTTATACAAGAAAAATAAAGTGAATTTCGTTTGTTTAAAAAAAAAAAACAAAAACAAAAACCTACAAGCATACAAGGCTAAACTGGAAAGTACAGCTAGGTAGTCTGCATCTCTATCCCTGTGTACCACCAAAACTTTTCAGGGCTGTGAGGAAGAGATTGGCTGTCTATGTCCAAGAAAACAATGTATCCCTTAAGAAATGTTTAAGTGACAAGGCGCCAAGGCAATAGGGTTTTATGCCTCCAATAGCAACGTAGGGAAGGATGCAGAAATGGTTGTGGATTATGAACTAACTAGAAAGCTTTGCACAGCTATTGTACAGATGCAGGTTGTTGTGTTCTGTGGATGCTGAGTCCATCATTGGCAAAAAAAAAAAAAAAAAAAAAAAAAAGGTGTGTTGTACCAGCTGAGGGAGCACTTAAAGTTAAGTGGGTAAGATGCTAGAACTTTGACCTAAGGAGAGGAAGGAAAGTGATTGACAAGCATAGGGATCATAGATTTGTGTAGCTGGACCTGGGAGTGGATAGGGAAACTTAAGAGGGAAAAGGAGAAACTGTTTACTCCCTGGAAGAAGTTTTTGAATGCAAAAGTAACAAAGACCCACAGTCTACATAGTGGCCATTCATAAGGAATAGCAGTTCCTCCAGATCACTGTGGTTCAGCTCTGATCCGGTAGGGGAAACGGCTTTCCTGTGAAATGTGTCGGCTTTCCTGTGAAATGTGTCCACTATGTTTCAGGACACTGCTTTCCTGTGCAATGTCTCCATTATGTTTCCAGTGGTTTAGCTGGTCCATTTCTTATACTTGGCCTTGTAGCAAGCAGGTCCAAGTCATGCCACCCCCTTCTTTTGGGGGAAAACAAATCCATAATGGATAGTTTTTTGCTACACGGTAATTAATGTGTTGAGCATAGGGAGTTCAGTGTTTGCATGTTGGTGCTAACACAAGGAACTTGCTTTATCTCCACACTTCAGTTTCTCCAGAGTAGGCCAAGTACTGGCTTTGTAGGAGTTTGGAAAAGGAGTAAGTGAATTAGCACACATGTAGCCCCCTAGCCCCAAGTGGAGTCAGAGCTGCCTTTGTGATTACTGCCAACAACGTTGTAGTCATCCCGTTCCATTGCCCCTTTAGCCTCATGTCCACGTTTGTTCCTCATCCTTGAGGTGGATGCATTGGGTTTAGATGACAATCATTGATCCTTGCTTCCTGTTCCATCTTGCCTATCCCTGACACAGACACCGGCTGATACTGCAGTTTGCTCAGGGACTGCTGAACAAGACAGTGCCTTTTATTTCATTATTCTGCCTGAGTGAGGCCATGAAAGTACAAACACAAATTAGTGTCTAGGTTATCATCATCCATCACGTTTAGCTCCCACTTTTCTCAAATTCTATATGAAGTGGTTTAAGTCCAGCGGCAGTTCTGTTTATAGATTTAACTAATTGATGTGTTCTAGTTTGTGCTGAAGGATATGGGAAAAAAAGGTGTAAGTAGATTTTTTATGCACCCAGTGCATTTATCACTTAAGTAGTTTTAGACAAACGAGGTCCAGGCTGGGTTACAATTGGCCAGAGGTTAGGCCATTAGTGCATATGTACCTTCTAAGAGTGTCTACATTGTCTGCCATTTTTTGTTTATTTTCAATTAAGTGGAAAAAACCCTCTTAGACCACAGGTTAATATTTAAGTACATTGACGTGTTTTATGTGTTTGCCTGTTATATACTTCTGACTTGCTTCTGACTGTCAATTTATCTTCAGTCAGATGCTTAGGCTGGCAAAGAGGCTTGTAGCATTAAATGAACTTTGAGCGTAAACAGATTGCTTTTTTGCTTTGTAAAGAAGGAAAGAGGAAGTTGAAAGCTCTGTGTTTCTCAATTGATAGAGTCCTTTTGAAGCTTTGCTTAGGCTGTTCTCATATAAAGATTCCAGAAAGCTCACACCCTTCATTAAATGACTGGCCTGCCTGGGAATAGTGTTTGAGAGATTTCCTGGCTCAATGTCTTTAGTATCTTACACTTTGGGGGACCGGGTAGTTTGAGCTTGTGGAGATTAGTAATAAGTTCATTTTTTACCAAAGAAAGTCCTCAAACTTGTGTGTGTGTGTGTGTGTGTGTGTGTGTGTGTGCGCGTGTGTATGTGTGTGTGTGTGTGCATGTGTGTCCCTTTCAAAAAGCCAACGATGAGCTGGCTAATAGCTCAGTGATGAAGCTGTGTGATTGTGATCCCAGCACTCCTCCTTGTGAAACGGGAGGTAAAGAAAGAAGAGTTGTCTAGAAGTGGGAGGTCCAGCTAGCCTGGAGTGTGGAACATGGCAGAAACAGCAAGAAAGACCTGGCCTCAGGGTAGGAGAAAGCCAACTCCCAAAGTTACCCTCTGATCACACATGCACACTAGAGCACACTGGCACTCACACGCAATCCAACACTGTACATTTATTTAGAGTTCTTTAAACTATTGAACTGGTTGCAGGGGGAGCATTCTAAGGTACAGGTGAACATTTGCTGGATTCTTTTGTTCTTGTGCAATATTCAGTAAGTGGGCAGACACTCAAATAGACTGGAAAGCTTCTCCCTAGCCACTGAATTTGTTCCCACCTCCTCTTACCCTCACCTTCGAATTCTCTGGTGTTTAATGGAATAGTAATCAGAGCTCTGTGTACTTGTTAGCCTTATTAACTTCTATTGTTATAGTGGGTTTAAGTTTTCTTAAAAAAATAAATATAGAAACTTAGATGTTTTAATATCACAGGAGACTGGCATAGTTCCTGGACTGTGAACTCTTCCTTCTAAATGTTCTTTATGCAGCCATATTTTTATTCCCAGCTGTTCTGTCCTTCCTTACTTTCCCTTCCTTTTCTTGCTCCCTCCCTCTCTCTCTTCCTCTCTTCCTTTTTTGTTCTATGTAATTCTAACTGTCCTAGAACTGCCCATATAGACCAGACTGGCCTTGAACTGACAGAAATCCCCTTCCCTATGCCACTAAGTGCTGGGATTGAAGAAATGCACCATCATGCCCAGCACACCAGCAGTTTTTTTGCACACAAGGGTACACCATTTGTTTGTCATGCGTTTCTCCCTGCTTTTCTGGGTTCCTTAGTTCCTTATTGGGTTGTTCTTTGGTATACATTGAAGCACAGTTCTACGGCATATTTGTCTTCTGAACTGGGATATATTTGGAAGTGCTGCCATTCCTAGAGGGTGTAAAAGTTGAGCCATCAGATTTTGATTTTTCTTTGTGATGTTAACATCCTACTTTCCCAGTTACTTGTCCCTTGCTTGGGTTTTTATTTTCTTCTATCACTTTCAGTCTTCCCAGCTGATCTGCCTTAGGCACACATACCTCCCTCACTGCCAGCTCCACAGGAACCAGATGGAGTTAATACTGCTGGTGAGGGTTGCTCTAAGTGCGAAAGAGCAGGCTCTGAGGTCCCTGCAGGAGTTTATGTTTTACATTATTTTATTATTTGATGTGCACACACACACACACACACACACACACACACGCACGCGCGCGTGCGCGCGTGCGAGCGCACATGCCACAGTGAACTTCTGGAAGTTAGAGGACAATGCCTGCCTTTGAATATTTGTGCTAGGATTGGGAAGCATGATCATTTCATTACATTGGAGTTTGTGGATAGACTGTGGTGTTGATGAAGTACAGCCCTCCTGGTAGGGTGGAGGGTCAGTCCCAAAAGACATTCGCTAGAGATGTGCAGAGCCCAGGTTTTGTGACAGTTGATGTTCCTCTCTTAGATTTACCATGTATGTTTTGCTTCAGAGAACCTGGTTCAAATTTTATGATGCGTTTGCAAAAATACATAAATCCAGCATGCTTCTGCTTGGCATATTTGGCTGGTCCTTTGGCCAGAGTACTGGGGGCTTTGACACATGTGCTATTCACGGGCCTATTTTTACAACTCTGAAGCACCCTTGTCTAAAAATATTTCCTCTTGGGCTGAGCCTGCCTTCCACTGGGCCCAGGAAAAGTCATGGAGCTGAGGACATAGCCTTCAACTAGGTGTGT